GCCCCACCTCTTCCTGTCATGTCACAACCACCAACCACCAACTACCAACCACCTTCCCCCACCAGAGTGACGTGCTGGAGATCGGCGGCACCAGCACCCTCTCCTCATCCACCGGCTCAGATCAGCACGGCAACGCGATCTCCCTCGCCCCCTCGTCCCTGGTCCCGAGCTCCCTCGCGCCGTCGCTGTCCGCGGCGCCGTCGGGGCAGCCGTCGCTGCCGCTGTCGTCGGGGCGCGTGCCCAGCATCAGCAGCAGCCAGCGGCTCAACACAGAGGCCATGCTGCAGGTTGGCCTGACTCTGTCGGAGGGACCCGGACGCTTTGCCCCCTCTGCTCTCTTCGAATGGCCGCTAGTAATGGCATACCTTTGGCTCATCACTATCACCGACGTGCTTGGTCGAGAGCGACCTGCCTGCCCTCCGTATTGATATGTGTGATTGTGAGCCCAGACCCATAGGACTGCCGTGCACCTGGCCGACTGCACCTGCACCGCAACCCTGCTGGACTGCTTCCTTTGACCGCGGCTTCCCCGCAGCTGCTGCAACGTGACATCCGCAGCAAGAATAGCCGCGACACCCTGGACCAGTCGCGCGGCGCCGAGGTGGCGGTCGGGGAGTGCCTGGGGCGCGCTGGCTGCGGCGCCGTGTTCCGCGGCACCTGGCACCGAGTGCCGGTGGCCGTCAAGGTGCGGGGACCTGTGCTCGCCACCCCTCTTGGGCAGCCGCAGAGGCACATCTGCATTTGCGGCTTTCTTGCCGCCCAATCACATGGGCAAGATGTCTGCCTTGCAGCGGTGCCCCTTTGCTGGCACTGCCATGGAGTGTGCTTGTTTGGAGTTCACACCCTTGCTGGCGTTTTTAAACACCTTGGCTGGCGTTTTCGGCCCTTCTCACCCTAAACTCCTGAATACATGCCCGGCCGTGGCGCGACCCCGCAATTCGTGCCCGCAGGTCATGCAGACACGCAACGACGGCGCGCAGGCGCTGCAGGATGCGGTCGAGATGGCGGTGCTGTCCAGCGTGCAGCACCCCAACATTGTGCAGGTCTTCGCCTGCCTCACAGACATGGTCAAGACCACAGGTGCGCCGAGGCCGCAGCCGCAGCAGCCGCCGCCCAACCGCCACCAAGCTGCCGCCCTGCCGTCCCATCCGCTCGCAGCTCGCCAGCACTGTCTGGAACTGGGGTTGTTCACCTGCCCCTTCTGCCGCCCTTCCGAACACGTGCAGTGTCTGGTGACAAGAACCCCGTTTTGCATGCCAAAGCCTCGCCGACAGCCCTGACCCCTGCCCGCCCGCCTGGCGTGCTTGTCCTCTCCACCGCACGGCTCATCCCTCCTCCCTACTCCCCACGTCCCCCCTCAAAGACAACCACTTTGGCGGCCGCAGTGCGAGCTTCACGGGCGGCGTCAAGACCCACTACCGCCGCCTGCGGCCGGAGGAGGACCCCGACGAGGCCGTCACCCACAACATCATAGTCATGGAGGTGCGCGGCCACGCCCCATGCCCCCTGGGGTAAAACCCTAAACCCTGCCC